GCTTTTTGGTGAACCCCTGAAATGTAAAGACGACCGTTTTGGGGAGTTCAGAAGAAAGGGGATCTGACCTAAGCTGAGGTATCAAACCAAATTAGGGGTTTTGTAAGAAAATGGGAAACTAGTCGGGTAGTTCCCAGGGAAGATGAGGCCTACAAATTAATGGGTTTAGAAGAATTCTACAAACTCTGCCCCTCGGACCTAAAAATCATAGTTAATGGACAAGGACAAGAGACGTAACTATAGCCGGGAAGTGGGCAATGTGCGGATAGCTGCCCAAGTTTGATAAAAAAAATTCAAGGGACAGGGGCACAAAGCTGAATGGAGAAGGAGAATGGGCTAAACCCAGACCTGTGGGGGAGGCAAACCCTAATCGGACCCAACAAAGGAACATGAAGATCTGAAAAGCTTTTACTATAACAAAAAATGTCATAAGATGTTACATTGTCCAGCGCTGAAGAGACTAGGGGCTAGTGATAGCCTACAGTGGGTCCAGGTGGCAGTGACCCTACCAACGGAAAACCCAGATCCAGCCCTGATAGTCAGTAAACCTGATTATTTCAGACCCAAAAGGGGAATCAAAAAAGTTTTGCATTGAGTTGGATGGGAAAAAGGCCCAGTGGTTGAGTACAATGGAGCCCAAGTAACTCTGGCACACCCCGAGGTGGACCCCTCAAGAATCATCCCTGATAGAGTCATGACCATTCAGAGAATAATGGGCCCCCATCCAAATCAGGGGCCTAAGGATGCTGGGGTGCACTCCCAGCTACTGACAGAGGTCTTGCTGAGGAATGACTTAAAATCCTGGCCCGAGGCCACTTGTGTAAAACAGAAAGCAGCAGCCCTTGGCTCGGACCCTGGGCTGCAAGCTGACAGGCAGCTCTGAGCTGCTGCCTGGCAACCTAAATACATGCCCTGGGGCTGAGCTGAACCCAGCTGATGAACTGACTTCAGAGGGAGGGAAAGTGGGTTCCAGTGACCAGGTTGAGTGGAGTCTCCCAGCTCCTGCTAGGGAATTCCAACAGTAACAATTGATTTACCCCTCGGGTTGCAGCTGACTCCCCCGGCAGTCCTCTGACAGGAGGGCACCTGGAAAGGTTTCTCTGGGATCAGCTGCTACTCTACAGGGAGTGTATACCCCCTGGAAATGTTGAGCCATGGGGAATACGGAGACAATTGGTGGTACTGATTTCGGCTACGCAGTCTAGCCCATGATATCTCTTTCTCAGTGCACTTGGAAATACAGAACACTAAAAAGTGCTTACTCCAGAATTTCTACTGGCCTGGGATTTCTGAGGCAGTGCAAAAACACTGCAAGTCCTGTGACCCGTGCCAGAGGGTATGGAAGGGCCAGGACAAGGGTAAGGCTGTCCTAATTCCCATTCCCATCAAAGAACCCTTTCAGAGGGTTGTTGTGGACATTAGGAGGCCCCTTAGCAAAGTTACCCAGACAGAGAAAATATATATTCTGATAGTAGTAGTTTACGCTACTCGCTATCTACTCTGAAACCTATCCAGAAGTGGTAGCACTGTTCTCTATAGAGGCAGACAAAATGACTGATGCCTTGCTAGAAATATGTAGCCAGGTAGGGTTTCCTTGTGAGGTTTTGACTAATCAGGGGGCAAACTTTACATCTGTCCTACATGAAGGGCTATGAGATGTGGGATTCAACACTTCTGGTCACCTTCCTACCACCCCAGATAAACAGGCTGTTCGAGATATTTAAAGAAACCCTTAAAATGTTGAAAATGTTTGTGGACCCACACCCCAGTGACTAGGTTAAATGTTTACCTTAGCTGCTGTTTGCCTATCAGGAGATTCTCCAGAAATCCACAAGATCCTCCCCTTTTGAACTGCTCTCCGTATGGGAGGAGAGTACAAGGCCCCCTGGCCCTAATGAGAGAAGAGTTGGAAAGTACGGCCTCTCCCGACAAGGAGTCCACGGTGATGTATGTGTTGGCCTTTTGGGAAACACTCACTGAGCCCATGCGTTTCACCCAGGAGAATCTAGCTAAAGCTCGGGACAGACAAAGTCTGATATGATCACACTGCATATGCTTGGGCATATGATACAGGTGAGCAAGTTATGGTGCTCATTTCAACGCACAGGAATAAAATTCCAAGCTGCCTGGGAAGGGCTGTTTGAAATCAAACTTCTCAATGAGATAAACTATGTGGCTGAGCTATCTAAATCGCTCCCATTGACATTGAGTGTATGTGTGAACATGACAAAATGATATTACAGCAGAGAGAATCTAGCCCTGGGGCACTGGGAGGGGAAAGAAGAGGTTCTCCACATAGATCTGGTAGCAGAAACAGGGGACAGCCCCTCCCTGGACTCCTTATCCCTCTCTGATCACTTAACCCCCACATAGCAAGCCGAGAACAGAGCAAAGCTGCAGGCTTATCACCAGGAATTTTCCAATAAGCTTACACACATCTTGCCTGCTGTCCAATTAAAAGTTCACCTTCAAGCTTACTGTGAAAACAGGCCAGAGCCTGGAGAGAGAAATTGCTGATATGCTGGAGTTAGAGATGCTCCAATGGTCAAATAGTCCATGGGAATCCCCCAATGTACTGGTACCTAAGAAGCCTGGGTCAGAGTCTGTGGGGATTACAGAAAGCTCAGTATCATCACAACATCAGATATATACTCCATGCCTAGAACAGATGAGATTCTGTGCAAGTTGGGAGGGGCCCCCCAACTCCTGACCACAACTGACCTCAGTAAAAGTTATTGGCAGGGGTCGTTGGCCTCAGATACTAGGCCTTAAATCAGCATTTACCACCCCAATCGGGCTCTGAGTTCCTGGTCCTACCTTTTGACCTCAAGGGGGCTCTAGCTACCTTATAGCAGCTGGTAGATGAATTACTACATGGGATGGGGGAGTTTGGCCTGGCACATATAGATATTTGCAACTTCAGCCAGACATTGGAAGAGAATGTGACCCATGTAAGGAGCATGCTTCACAGCATTCACACAGCAGGCCTGACTGTAAAGATAGAGAAATTCAAGGCTGGAATGGCAGAAGTGGGATCTGAGCCACAGAGTGGAGATGAGCTGCATAAAACCGGAACCTGCAAGAGTGGAAGCCATTAAGAATTGTCCCACTCCCAATACAAGGAAGAAAAGGTACAATCCTGTATTGGGATGTCAGGATATTACAGGAGATTTGTTCCTCACTTTAGTACCCCTACTGCCCTTATCACTGATCTATGTAAAAAGGGTGAACCAGGATCTGAACGCTGTCAACAGGCCTTCTGTGAACTGAAGAAAGCCCCAAGTACAGACTCGGTTCTGGTAAGCCCAGTCTTTGAGACATCGTTTATGGGTTTTAGAAACACCTGTGACATTGTGCTTAGGGCTGTGCTGATGCAAAGCGATGAAAAGGGGGAGAGACACCTCATTGTGCATCTGAGCAAGAAACTGCTTCCCTGAGAGAAAAACCGTGTGATAACTGAAAAAGAACATTTGGCAACGGTGCAGGCCCTCAGCAAATTGCAGCCCTATCTTTTCAGATGCTATTTCACGGTGTATACTGACCACTCACCTGGTTGCATCAAATGAAAAGACGAATGCCTAGTTGCTAAAATGGAGCCTGGTGTCTCAAGATGATGATATGGAAATGCTTCAGGTTAAAGGGAATGCAAATTTGGTCACTAATGTTCTGTCCAGGAAATAAGTCAGTGGGGTCCCTGAGGTGTGGCTGGACAGCCACCCTTGCTAATGTTCACTTGTCTAAGTGGGAGATGAGACAGATGTGAGACCTGGAAGTGTAAATAGTTCAAACAATTATATTTAAATGTGCCAGACAAGCATGGCCTTTGGGGACAATAAGCATTAAGTGGGTTTCCTGCCCGACCTTTTGAAGCTGTGCCCTTAGGACAGAGCCATTGACCGGTGATTACCAGTTCCAGAGTAAGCAAAAACAAGTTAGCAGAGCTGCCTCTGAATTTTGCTGTACAGTCCTAATCCCTTAGGCCTGGTCTACACTAAGAGTTTAGGTCGAATTTAGCAGCATTAAATCGAAGTAACCTTGCACCCGTCCACACAACGAAGCCATTTTTGTCGGCATAAAGGGCTCTTAAAATCGATTCATTAGTCTTTGTGAGCTGGTAGAAATATAGATCAACAGGGATTCTAGTTAAATTTTACAGACACACATTCTAGAGCAGTGGTTCCCAAACTGAGGTTCGTGAACCCCTGGGGGTTTGCGAAATGTTACAGGGGGTTCTCGGGAAAAAATTCCCTAGTGGCGGACAGAGCTGTCCCTAGGGTCCCCAGGCACCATGGGGCCAGCAGCCCGGAGCCCCTGGACTTCCAAGAGCTAAGCAGATCAAAACAAGCATATCTATCACACTGAGGAGATTTAAACTTCAAGACTCCTTATAAGAAATGGAAAGGGAGGTGGATATTTTTTGCTGTTTTTAAAATTAAATAGGCAGCTAGTGGTGTTTTTAAAATTATTATGAAGAACAAGTTTAAGCTTTGCTGTAACGTGCGTTATTTGCCTGGACTGCTCAAGACCTGAATGCTTGTGTAGGAGGAACTCTTTGAGTTGGCTTCTTAAATACCTTCATGCTTGTTTCACATCTGATACTCCTTGATGAAACATAGGAGCCTTGTCTTAGAACAGGCTTATTCAGAGTGATACAAGCTACGAAAGTGAGATCTTGGAAGAGTGTTGCCGTTTTCATTATGTAATAAAAATACTGTAATGATAAATAATTAATAATAAATAGTGTGTAATAAGCATGTCATAAAAACAAATTTTATATTTCCAAGATCACTGCTTTTATATTTTATACTCAGGTAAAGGAGAAAATCCCTGGAAATATTCATTTTTAGGAGGGGGTTCGCGAGACTTGACATTTTAGTGAAAGGGGTTCACAGGTTGTTAAAGTTTGGGAAACCACTGTTCTAGAGGAAAAAGAACAAGGCAGGATGACAGCAGGAGACTGAAATGATCATTTAGAATTTGCTCTGTGTGACTTTCCTTACCTACATTTCTCAAACTTTGCACAGTGACAGCAAATCCCTTTGTCCGGGGCAGCAGATGATACTTGAGTTTAGGCAGGCCTTTGGCTTCAGCAACCTGCATGCTGATTTGGTGCTTCTGCTCTGTGAATCTCGTGCCCTCACAGTGTATCAAGAACTGAAAGCAAGACAGGGCTATAGTTAGAAAACCAGCTCATACATTGATCACAAAACAAACGTTCACTAGTTTGGGTTTCTTTAAACCTTCCTTCTTGTTAGCTGTATTTTGGGAATGAAGTGGGTGAAAGGAAACAAAAATCTTGAAAAACCTTACTTTCCTCCTGATGGCTCGTGTCTGGTATTACTGCTCAGACTACTGTGGTCTGCAGAATTTTGAGCAAGAAATGCAAGTGTTTTTTAATAAAACCACTCCCTTTCTTATATCATCACAGCAGACCAAAAAAAGAAAGTTCTCCAGTGATAACACGAAGGCTGGTTACCATGAGGAGCACCAAGGCAGTGCACTAGGACTTCTGGTCTGACTGAGTAGTATACGGGTTATTATCTCAAAGGGGATGTACTAGAGACAGTTCCAAACCAGAACTTCAGATTCCAACTTCCCTCAACAATGGGAAAGTTCAAATCCAGATCTCGATCCATATTTCACGGCTGGCCTCTCAGACCCATTCCCAATAAATATTTAAAGAAGGGACTGACCTGTGATAGTCTATATTATTATGTTCACCACTTTTACAGGACACTGATAAATTATGTACAAAGTATGCCTTGTGAGTTATCATTTGAAACATCAGCCTGCTGAACATTATTGTCCTGGCAAAGTATGTGCGGCAACACAATATGAGAGGTTATAAGATTCTACTGTATGATTGTTACTGAAGTATGTTATAATTCTGCGTAACACCCACAAACCAGTTTTTCAGAGACAAAAACTCACTGGCCCCAGCCAGGTGTTAAAGAGCTATCACCGGCTTAAGCAGCCATTCTTCAGTAATGGGAAGGTGCAGACAAGAAATTTACATTTCGTCACAGAGATGGTCCAACCCTCACATCCGCAAAAGACTACTTGTTGCTTGCACCCCAGTCGGGGGTAATTCTCAAAGAGGGGAGGGTGGTATGAGAGAGAGAGAGAGAGAGAGACCTTCATTTCACCTCTCCTCCATGACATCACTGACTCTCAAAGAACTGAACTAAGCGGGAAGAGTCCCAGGCATATGGTGAGACAAAACCTTTGCTTTGAAATTCACTTAGCTTAAGATATTAGCCTGCGTTTTACTCTTATTTTCTTTTGTAACCATTCCTGACTTTTATGCCTCATCATTTGTAATCACTTAAAATCTATTTCTGTAGTTAATAAACTTATCTTATTGTTTTATCTTAACCAGTGTGTTTGGATTAAAGTGTGAGGGTACCTCCATTTGGGATAACACTGCTAGTGCACATATTTTCCTTTGCTGAAATGGACTGTATGAGCTTACATTGCTCAGTAGTGTGCTAGACCGTACAAGACACATATTTATGGGGGAACAAGGCTGGGACTAAGAATGTGCACGTGTTGCCCTGTATGTAATTCATGAGTGATTGGTCAGAGGGCTCGTGTATTTAGCTGGGGGGTGAATTTGCATGCTGAAGGCTGTGAGAACAGGCCAGGAGAGGATGTTCTGACAGCACAGCAGTTTAAAAGGCACCTCAGACTAGAGAATTAAGAGGACATAGCTGTTCAACAATACAGATTGTACCCTGGCTAATGTCACACCATCATCACTAATTTTCCACCAGGATGTCATTTTCTTCCACCTTTTAAAGTTCAATAGCACAGACAGCTAAAAAGACACATGGGCTGTAAGATGCTGAGGAGGAAATAGCTTTTTGGGGAATAATCGCATTCACATTCCATCCATATAAACCATAAAACCTGAGGGTTTGATACCTGAACATAGTCATGACGAAAAGTGCTCCCAATGATATAACAAAGATCAGTTATTTTAATTTCCATAGAGAAGAGATGTATTAACCTGCATCATGGCCCTGTAGAGCCACCCTCTATAGCACAAGTAATGACATGTTTCCTAGTGGTGATGGATGTGGACAAATCCTGGCTCTTAAACTGCCGTGGTGCTAGAGAGGAAGTATATGCCATCCAGCAGTTAGGGCACCAGCCTTGGGAGAGCTAGGTTCAAGTCCCTGCTCTGCTACAGACTGCCTGTATGGCTGTCATTTAATTTCTCTCCATCTCATTTCCCCATCTGTAAAAGGAGAATAACCGCACTTCCCTACTTTACCTGGGTGTTGCGAGGATAAGTACATTAAAGATTACTGCAGTATCTGTACATTTCACAATGAGGGCCATATAAAGTATCTAGAATGGACAGACAGGGTTCTGGCAAGTTTTTAGGGGAGCCTGTCCTTCTAGTGTGTCCCAAGAATCTGACTACACCCTTCACAGGAGTATTGTATGCAAGACACAGAAGGTAATTGTTCCACTTAACACAGCACTGGTGAGGCCTCAGCTGGAGTAGTGTGTCTAGTTTCAGGCTCCCACACTTAAAAGGAAGATGTGAACGAATTGGCAAGAGTCCAGAGGAGAGCAACCAAAATGATAAAAGATTTAGAAAACATGACCCAGGAGGAAAGGTTGAAAGAATTGGCACGTTTAGCCTAGAGACGAGAAGGCTGAAGGGAGACATGGTAACAGCCTTCAAATACATAAAATATTGTTATAAAAAGAGGATGGTGATCAATGGTTGTGTCTCCACTGAGGGTAGGACAAGAAACAAGCAGCTTAGTTTACAGCAAGAGATATACTGGTTTGATATTTGGAAAAACTTTCAAACTAAAAGGATAATTTAGCACTGGAAGGTTGCCTAACCTAGGGTGATTGTGGAATATATGTCAGAAGTCCTGGAGAGCCCACGGAAAAAAAAAAAAATAGTGGGTGCTCAGCACCCACCGGCAGCCTTGCAGATGAGCTCCTCCCCATCCCTCCCAGCACCTCCCGCCCACCGTGATCATCTGTTCAGCAGCATGCAGGAGGCGCGGGGTTGGGGAAGGGGATGGAACAAGGAAGGGAGAGACAGAGCAGGAAGAGGCAGGGCAGGAGTTTGGGGAAAGGGGTGGAGTGGGGGTTAAGCACCCCTCCCCGCCCCGGGAACTGTGGAAGTCGGCACCTGTCTTGAGGTGCCTTCCAGATCTACATTACTATGATTCCCAGCTGAAGATGCAATTACGTTTTGTCTAGGAGTGTGGTGAGGACAGCAAACTATAGACCCGTAAATGCAGTGCCACTAACCAGTATCCCATCCTACATAAGATATACCATTTCTGGGGAAATTATGCAGATACGAGAGCTTAAAATGTATTTCCCCATCAGCACATGCATAAGAACAAATTGATTGCTGGAAGGTTAATGGAAAGTGAACACAAAAGGGGCTGAGCATTGCCAGAAAGTGAGCTTATTTTTAAATTAAAGGAAAGATTTTGTGGCATTTGACTATCTCTGCTAGTAACTCAGCCAGGATTTGTCTCACAGAAATTAGAGATGGATCATCTGCTCTAGCCCCCAATGCACCATACTTGTGGAGTATACATATCTTGTTAAATATGCAGATGAAGCATTCAGAAAGGGAGGAGAAAATCCTTTCAGCAGGTCTAACCGGTTTCCATTCTGTACCCAAGGTGCTATTGCTATCTGTGCTGACACGGGACCACCACCAGGAATGCAAATTAAAATTCCACTTCATCCTGAATTAACCCCAGTTGTATGACAATTACATAAACACCATCTGTAATAGGACTAGAGTAAATGAAGGGGATATCAGGCAACAAAGGATGAGTGAGCTAATTAGCGCTGAGCAGTCTAAGTTTATAACAAATTATTTGACCTTTAAAAAGGTGCTTAAGAGTACAGTGGAAACTGTACAAAAGAAAATAGAAGCTGATGCAATTAGGCAACCACCTAGCTGGAGATCATCCAACACATCCCTGAAACAATTGGCTCAATTCTGCAAGGTGCTAATTGCCTTCAATACTCATTGACTTCAAAAGGAGTTGAGAGGGCTCACGTCCTCAGAAGTCCAGGTCAATATCTTCATTAGAAAAGCACCTCTGTTAAGCAATCAGTTTGTTGGCCCCTTTTGTGGTTGGTTAAGACAGATTTCCCTATACGAGTCCATCTCTCTCCTCTTGCCATCACCAACTCACCAAAATTGGGAGTTTTCCCCAAATACTGGATAAAGAAAAAAAGTCAACACCTTTTCATTCCCAGTCTCAATCCGTCTTTTCATGGGCGCCGACTCCGTGGGTGCTCCGGGGCTGGAGCATCCACAGGAGAGAAAAAAAGGTGGGTGCTGAGCACCCACTGGCAGCCCCCCCCCCCCCCCCTCCCCTCAGCACCTCTCACCCGCTGGCGGGCCCCACCGATTAGCCCCTCCCCCGGATCAGCTGTTTCACGGCATCTGGAGGCGCTGAGGGGGGGAATGAGGGAGGAGTGAGGGCACAGTGCTCTGGGGAGGGGTCAGAACTGGGCAGGGGCGGGAACAGGCGAGGTATAGTGGGGGTGGGGCCTGGAGGGGGAGCACCCCCTGGCAGATTAGACACACAGCGCCTGTGTCTCATTTCCCAGCCCAATGAGAGGGGATGGGGATATTGGGAAGTTAACACTATCTTGGTGCAGAGACAGGAAATCCAGTTCTTTTCAGATTAGAAAAATCAGGGGGCCAAATGTCACTTTGGTTGAGTAGGCACAACTCTGAGTTAATTCACTTACATCAGTGCTGAGTTTGACTCAGTAACTGCCACATGGGCCTCGAGAGAGATGGGATTAAAGTAGGAGAAATGGAGCGTGGGGGTGAGAGTAGGAACATCAAAATAGAAAGAACAGGGGTAGAAGAGGGGAAATTAAAAATACATATATTTGGTACATTGTCATATCCACACTCAACTTTTCCATAGACCTCTAAACTTCCAGGTTCAGAGGTGCATGGAGTTTGCTGAACTGATCAAATCCCAGGATAAATAATTGCCACCTATACAATTTATATCCCTATTTGTTTCCTTGGCATTCCCATTGTTCTGTCTTGGTAGAGGGTTAGTGAAAGACATTCAAATTCTCCTCATTGTTCTCTGACTTTTCTGGGAAGTTCATGAAACACTAAACCAAATTCACAGCATTGAGCCAGTGAAGGGCTGTTGCATTTATGTTCTCTGTCCCTCGAGAAACAAAAGTGCCCTAAACTCCACTCCCCGGTCACCACTTACCCAAAATTTTTCAGGGTAATCCCGGAGATTGAGCAAGCTCTGCATGACAGTTTTCCGATCTTCCTCCCATTTACGCTTGCAGAAGACTATCTCTAGGAAATACCACATCCAACCAATGATAGGCACGTAAGAAAGTTCCTTTTTTGCAAGCACTTTGGAACTCTGCAAGAAAGAGCATTAAAAAAAAAAAAGCATTACATAGATTTTTTTTTTTTAAAAACAAGAAACGGTTTATTGAATTTTAAGGGTACATGAGACACAAAGGGCCAAATGCCAATACACTGACTCACGCTGAATAGTATCTTACTGCACAGCTTGTACCATTGGTTTTAACAATCAAAGGTTCTTCACAACATCCGGTAGGGAGCAGAATTTGGCCCCAGCTGTGTGCATAAAAGGAAGTTGTATGCAATTTAAAAAAATCCACATAAAGCTAAATTGTTTTGAAAAGTGAGGAACTCGTGCAAGGGGTTAGGCTGCCAGCCACAAAGAATTAAGTTCTTGATTTATCTAGAGAACCAATACATCATGGGCAGTGGCAGCCCAAGTTCCTGCCAATATGCTTCCATGCTGAGCTAACAGGATTAGGTATTATGAATGAGAGTAATTCTTTTTGCATGTCTTTGTTATTGAATCTGAACCATCTGTTGAATTTTTTGACTGTCTGCATCACAATCAGCAGTCTACCCATACAATTTAGAGAGTTCATAGGGAAAAATTTATTTACGTATAGGCTTTTCTATAGCACTCATCACCGTACTCCCTCAGCACCACTCATACGTTAAGGAATTTCTCTTCACAATATCCCTGTACAGAAAGGAAGCATTAGCTCCATTTTATAGATGGGATACAAAGAGATTCAAGTGACTTGTCCAAGGTCATGCAGGTGGTCTATGCTGTAGTCAGTAACACTACTCAAGTCCTAGTCCACTCCCTAACTGCAAAACTATGCTTCTTCTCGCAAAACAACCTTTCCACAATGTGTTTTATTGTTCCTTTCCTCCCTTCCTAACCAGCTCAACTCTAAGCTAGCTTGTAGTTTGTTGTGTTATAGAATGGTCAGAATGAAGAATAAAGCCGCAAACAATGTGTGAAATGTTGCTTCAGCACTGACTGAAAAAAGTCCCATTTTCTACAGGGTACATGCAGCAATAACGGTCCATTGTGCATTTGTTCTATCATAAAGCACCGTAGCCCAGGGATTGGACATCAGATTTGACTAGTGACAATTGGTGAACTCTACATTCAAGTAATGACTATTAGAGAGAGAGATTTGCTTTTTTCATTACAATGGCAATAGAGACAACTTAGTTCTTGTCTTCTCCTCATCTTTCTTTTCTGCTCTCCCCCCCCTTAGAAAATGTCTGTAAATAATTAAGCTACCTACAATACCCATGAGACTAGAAGGCAAATATAGATCACTTAGCTTTATTAGTAACAGACACACAGAAGCCAAGGAGAGCAAATGTGGGGAAGTCAGCTTCCAAAAACTGGAAATAGGAATTTAATGTTTTCAATCATCAAGAGTGCCTCACACAGACCTTCCCTCTCCCTCCCTCCCAATACTATTAGTTAATTAGTAGTGATGGGCCTAAAGCAGAACCCTGAACCCTCTTCCTTCACAGCTTTTTTTTTTTTGGGGGGGGGGGGGGGGGGGGGGCTTAGCATCAGGATCTGAACTTTATGGCGGAGGCCCAGCTCTGTTGATCAGTGATCTGATGAACCCCCGGTTAAGAATTGATTTGTGCATGAATCCAGCCATTTTTGTCACATTCATATTTGTACAAATCTGATTCCAAATATCAGTCCAGATATTTGATACTTCAACTAGCCCCTACCACACTGCAGCAGCTATGCTGAACATGGCCTGGTTCTCCAAGGCCCCTTCCTGCCCTAGCATTAGTCCTTCCCATATAATTGCTAGCTCCTTCGTCTCTTTCTCAGGATACCCCTGCATCCACTCCCAGACACTAGGATACCTTTCTACTACCAATACCCATCATCACCTACTACCTAGGTCTATCCCTCTTCTCTATGTGCAGCCTTATCTCCAGAATTCATATTCAGCATTGCTGGATCCTGGTATATGTTATTTGGATTGTCAGGAACCAGTGGATTGATCATTGCACCTATACAATATTTCATAATTATTAACCAACAAACCCTTCTGCCCTCAAGGCAGGGTTACCATATTTCCACAATCAAAAAAGAGGACACTGTGGGGGGGAGCCCCGCTCTAGCCCTGCCCCCACCCTGCCCTGCCCCCATCCACTCCCTCCCACTTCCCACCCCCTGACTGCCCCCCTCAGAATCCCCAACCCCCCCTGCTCCTTGTCCCCTGACTGCCCCCTCCTGAGACCCCCCCCACCCTAACTGCCCCCCTAGGACCCTACCCCCTACCTGTACCCTGACTGCCCAAAACCTTATCCACACCCCGACCCCCAGACAGAACCCCCCCCGAACTCCCTACCCATCCAACCCTGCTCCCTGTCTCTTGACTGCCCCCTCCAGAACCTCCCTGCCCCTTCTCCGACCCCCTAGCCCCCTTACCGTGCCGCTCAGAGTGCTGCGGAGCGGCGCGCTGGGCAGTAGGGGAGGGGGAGGAGCTCCAGACTGCCGGAGGCCCAAGGCGAACGGCCGGCCGGCGATCTGCGAATGCAGGGAGGGGGAGGGAGAGAGAGGAGGGGAGTGATTTCAAGCTGCAGGGGAGAGGAGGGGGAAGCGGAGGAGGGGCTCTGGCTGTCAGAGCCCCGTGCGAGTGGCAGGATCCAGCTGGCTGCCCTGTCAGCCATGCGCGCTCTGCATGGGGGGGGGGTCCCCGGACATTTACAAATTCTCCCCGGACGCTATTTTTAACTCAAAAAAGCCGGACATGTCCAGGAGAATCCAGACGAATGGTAACCCTACCCCAAGGGGAAAAAAAAAAAAAAAAAAAAAAAAAAAAAAAACCACACACACACACACACACACACACACACACACACACACACACACCACAGTTGTAAACATTTGACAGACCTAACATTTAACTTCAAAGGGACGCTCTTTTTTTAAGTTCAGTTTTCTGGTAGATACCCTTTAAATGTGGTGATTTCTAAACTAATTTCTTAGAAAAAAAATAAGGTTTTTTCTCCTAACATTCAAAACAGTCTCTTAGATGGGTCTGAGTGTGCAAGAGTAACAAACATGCTTAGCTTCACTTTCCTTCTCCTTTCCCTTTCCCCACACTCTGGCCTGAAGCCTTTTTAGTTTCTGCTTTGCTATTGCTAGTAAACACCCTCTGGCAGAGCCTGGGAAGGATATACATCAACAAACCAGTGAAACTTACTATACACTAAGTGGTCTCAAATGCACCAAGTGCAGTAAACAAACTGAAAAAATTGGACAAATATTTTTCTTTGTCTTTCATTATAGTATATTCAGGGGTTACTTCTAATAATAACTATTTTCAGATGGAAGTGTGATTTTCAAGCTGCTTGCGTCTCTTTAATATAACATTGAAGTTCTTACAAAAAACAAATGGTCTAAAAGAAAACGCACAGTTAAGGTCATATGTCAACTACACAATCTGAACTCTATCCCTTTAGCAATACTTGCCCCTCTTGTTTCCAATCAAGTGCTGTCCGGGGAAGGTTGCGAGGGTTACTTTGTGTTTTTGGAGCATTCTGGGATCCTCAGATAGCAGTTGCTATAGAAGTGTAAGGACCACAGCATTAAATGGGAAAGAAACCTCATGGGTGCGTAGAGTGCAGTGTAAGGAAATGGGATGTATTGTATTATGCATTAATTAGAAGCAGTCACAAGCTATGCACTGCCTCACACTAAAACAGTTCTAGAACTATACATCCACATTTATAGCATGTCTGTTGGGTATTGTCAAGGTGTCTGCAGTCAGCCAGCTGTATTTCATGAATATATTAAAGCCTCCCACTTCCCCCTGCAAAAGCTCGAAGTGGGCCTTGTACTGTGCCAAAAGATCAACAAATCCAGCAAAGGAAGAAAATTTCAGCGAACATCCCTCCCTGACAGTACCCTGACCCCGGATATTTAAATCTAGCAACCATTAACTCAGCTAACCTTCAGCTGCCACAGCCATGAGGTGGAGAAGAACGGTGTGGTATTCCGAATAGCCACACAGCTTTACAGAACAAAGCCAAGCACCTTGAATTGCAGCTGGAAGCAAAAAGAAAGCCAGGCCAGAATTAAGTAAGCAAACATGTTGCCCAAAAGAGGGGGGAAATCTTGTCGTCTTGTAATGCACGGGTAATAGTCAACGTGTACTCTACTGAAAAACAGAGACTATAAGAAAAGGTAAGATTGCCCTGCAATAAGGCCATGCAACACAGCTTCAACGACAATTATTGGGCTCAATACAAGGGTAACTAGGTGAAATTCTGTGTGCTATGCAAAAGGTCAAAGTAGATGATCTAATGATCCCTTCTGGCTGCAATCTGAGTCTACAAAGGTTATGCCTCCAAAGCACAATAAAGGTTCTAACCATTTCTTGTCACCAACTACTGTTTAATTATGCTTTCTTAGCATATGCAAAAACTCTTGACAGTTACATGCAATGGTAAATTTTCTACTCTCCCCCATTTTTGATTAAATAGAAAATGACATGCTGATATGATGTTTTAAAAGTATTTAAGGCATTACCTATGCTAGAGATAAGGAATGTATGCTGAGGAAATTTGGACACTTGAATTCTGTCCAGTATGTGGATATTCAATGCTATATTGGATTTGTTTCTTGTTTTCTTCTGCCAAAAGCTTCCCCCAAAAGTTGTTTTTGGCACTGGAGTGGATAATCTCTCTTAGATGCACATGAAGAGAAACTAAAAGCATCTTATGCTGTTTTGTGCCAGAAGTCTGCATTAAGTGTAGAAGGAAGTCTCTAATTACAGAGAACTAACTACAGGAAGGAAGTTTTTCAATGAGTTACATTAGCAAGACTGTTCTCTTGTGGGAGGAATAAATTAGACTTGTAATATACAAATTATCCCCTCCTTTTCCCCCAGTATATAGAACTAGAACCTGCTCTGTGCATATATCATATAACATGCAGAAGAACGGAGGGAAGCATGCATCCACAGAGTTTATTTTATCCCATTCGCTCTCCTTTTAATGAACTGTTTTTTTGTAACAACATACTAATCCTCTCCT